TACTAAATAAGAGTTTTAATTCGTCCTAGAACTAGGCTCAACACGAATAGAGAACTTCTTATGCACATTCTTATTCAAATTATTTAAAATAGTGATTTTAATTGCTTTTAAATTAAAATCTAAATGAGTTCCCATTTTTTTGGAATTTACAAGCGCAACTAGAATTAATACTTTACACGGTGTTATTATTTTTTCACACTAAAAATATTTTTATATAAGAACACAGATATATCCTACATTTTTTGTAAATTACCATAGCCTCTAGTTGTGCCTATTCAACTAAATGTATTAAATTTTTGGAATAAATTTCACTTCACTTTAGACTCTAATCATAAATTATTTGAATTTCACCCACAAAGAAATATTGAATACATAAATTATAATGTACGAGAAATTTAGTGTTTAGATAAAAAAAAAAGTGTATAGTAATGTAATTGTTATAAAAATTATTTGACTATGTGAATTAAAAAAAAAAAAATTCTGTTCTTATATTAAAGATACCTCTAAAATTATCACAATTCATTAGCCTTATAAAATAATAGTAAAATAACTGTGAATGTATCAATTTATTTAAAATAAAAAAAAATTTTAAACTAAATCGAATTTGATTATACATTATAGTAAATAGCTGAATAACGTCGATTTTAGTATAATACGGGGTTTAAGTCAATAGTAAGCAATTTTTAAATTCTCAAGCAATACAGTGGTGTCATATAGACACCACGATAATGGACGTTTTTTGTCGAAGAAACATCCAGTTACGTGTACGCCAGTGTTTTTTTTGTACGATTTAATTTTATTTTATGATACATTTTTGATATTACTTTTAGACTTTGTGTTTGATACGTTACTTAAATAAAATAGCTATTTTAAATCCTGGACTTCGAGTAAATACTTTATATTCACCGTGTTCTTAGATTTATGTGTGTGTGTGTGCGGCTAGAGTCAAGGTTGGACTGCTGGTCCTTTAGTCAATCTTAATAATTAGTGTACGAGCTGGCTAGTTTTTGGGCTTAACCGTCATTTGGTGGTTATAGTGAAAATGTAGTTGTGCTGGTGGCTGACAAGGAGCCACCCTTCAGTCTGCTAATTTAGAACTAGACTGTGCTGACGGGTCTAAACTCTACCCCTTTAGTAGTCCATTAATTAGAGGGATTGGGGCTGATCAGTTTATCCAACGGGAGGACTCTAGAAGAGCTCGAACGACGAACTCGTCGTCAATATATATATATATATAATTATATATAAAACATTAATAAATTTTGTGTTTACGTTAAATTAAATTATATATTCTTAGATTTATGTGTGTGTGTGTGCGGCTAGAGTCAAGGTTGGACTGCTCATAGTAAAATGAATAAGAAGTATGCTCGATCNATAATTTTACTCACTGAGCAGACCAAAATATATACTTAATATTTCATTAAGAAAAAAAAGATAACTTATATTTTCTCAGATAATTTGGGAGGCATAGTTATTTTACTAGACAAATTTAATAATTGTTGGCCAATTGTAAAAAATGTTTTGTTAAATTAATTGGCTTCAATAAAAAGTTAACATAACTTTTTTTTTTTGCTTAAATAGGAGAAATAATGTTTAAATCGACACCGCATGGTGATCTTATGCTTAAGTTTTTTGCCGTGATAATTTAGTATGCATATATATTTAAAAATCTATACATCTTACATTTTAACTTCGATGCGAAACTGAGAAGGTATTATTTTACTAAGATGCGTTTTCTTTTTTTTGTGTCTGTTACCACTTTTTCTCAGCGCTCACAGAACCGATTTCTTTAAAGATACGTCAAAAGATCACAAATCGAATCCAGCCGAAGACATTACCCTCAAAAATTAAAAAAATTTCCATCGTTCCCCGTAAATGAGGGTAACCTCCAAAAAAATTACAAATTTAAAATCGCTAATTTTCGAAATTTTTTCAATTTTTTTTACTAAAAACCCTAGATATTTTCCTTTCATTTGATATAATTTTTTTTTATATAGATGCATGATATCATTACCTTTCATTTGGTGTATATTTCTTTCCTTTCACACTCCGAACTCCAAACACACCTGTCGTAACACAGTAAAATGAAAGCGTATAAAGGAGAGTAAATGTGTAACAATGTGTACGAAGATGAATATGATGATATGGTGCCTGCTGTCTAGGTATTCACGTGCATGTTGTCGTACAGCAGTCACCGTGCTCGGCTGACACTCCGGGTTAGCTGTGGGTGTCGAAAGGCTGTTGTTATAGGAAGGGAGAATAAGAGTAACACCTAGGTATGAGGTGCAGACGAAGTGCAAGACACAAATACCAGGTGTACACAAAAGGAGCCTAAAGTATGAGGTGCAGACGAAGTGCAAGACACAAATACTGGGCGTACCAGGTAAGGAGTATAACATAGTAAGAGGTGCAAACGAAGTGCAAGACACAAGTACTTTAGTTATTAGGAGAGGATAATGAAGTACGAGGTGCAGACGAAGTGCAAGACACAAGTACTTCAAAGAGAGAACAGGGTAGCCGAGTATAAGGTGCAGACGAAGTGCAAGACACAAATACTAGGCGTACCAGGTGAGGAAAAATAACAGAGTACGAGGTGCAGACGAAGTGCAAGACACAAGTACTCTGAAATGTCGAGGAAAAGAGTATATAGGTTAGAAAAGGAATAAACAAAGACTTTACTTTAAACAGTAAGCCGGACAGCGACAACCGAGTACTGAGACCGATGAATGACACAAGACATTGGAGTCGACTGACCACGATGGTCAGTTCTATTGGGTTTTTATAATAATTAGAACTATTGCCAAATCGGCAATAAATATTATTTGTTAATTCATCAGTCTCAGGCAGCGGATGTGCTGTCTGTATTTTATTAAAATAATAAAAAACTTGACAAAAGAATCCACCCATTGATGACACTTTTAAATGAATGTAATGTATTTATATATATATATCTAATACATACAAATATATATAAATAGGTTTTTTTTGTCTTTAATTAGAAAAGTAGATCTCAACACCATTTGCGTTTTAATCGTCTCGGAGGAAAAATATAAAACAATAACAAATTTTCATAGTGACCGAAATGAGTTACTTTATTAAACAAATTTAATAATTGTTGGCCAAAAAGTCTTGTTTACTTTTTATTTAAGCCAATTAATATAACAAAATATTTTTAATGATTTCTTAGTTTCTTAGTGACCGAAATGAGTTATTTTATTAAACAAATTTAATAATTGTTAGCGAATCATTAAAAATATTTTGTTATATTAATTGGCTTAAATAAAAAGTTAACAAGACTTTTTGGCCAACAACAAAATAATTATATATAATTCATAAAACTCATTATGTTAATTGTTGTTTAAATGAAATAAAGCTGTTCGACACTTATTAAACACTGTTATTTTATTAAATTTGTTTGTACGTTAATTAGTTTATACACTTTAAATTGTAAATTGGCTAAAAAGTTCCTTGAAGTTAATAATATACTATATGAAAATTATCATTGTCCTGTAGTCTATATTAATATGTCTTTGATTATATGTCTGCAATGATAATTGCTAATATATGATAAAATGAGTAGATTATGCTTAAATATTATAATGTAATAACAAGAGAGTTGAATTTATTGATGGGAATAATTTATTGGGAAATGATTGTATTTGTTAATAAATTTTAAAATATTTGAATGACGTGATTCTCAAATAAATACCGACGTATTAAATCGGAAAAAGTACATTTCCATTATGGTTTAGCGCTGAATTTAGAAATAATATTAAACAAAAAATATTGCTCACAAAAACTTAAAATTATCAAATTGTTCAAATAATTATGATGTATCTTTTAATTTAAGAGCCAAATGTCAACCTACGACTAAAATTTGTTATAGTCATCATACGAAATAATCTCAAAATCAATTAAGATATATACCACGAATTTTCAAGAGTTTATTAATGAAAGGAGATATTAAAACGAATTACCTGACTTTATGCATCTTTACTATAAAAAAGCTGTCCCAAACTTATCAAAAACTAGATTATTCAGTCAAAAAAGCAAGATTACAAATTGAAATAATTAATGATAGTAACAGTACTTCTTTAATTATTTATCATAGTGTCCCTTAAACTGTACTAAGGCCTATATTATTTATTTTATATATAAATAATTTACTTAATATTAATCTTGAGGCCAAATATGTTTTGTTGATGACACTGTCTTCAGTAATAATGTCATAACTTTAATTTAGTTCTCAAACGTTAAAGGTACACAATGAATGGTTTCATTATTTTGTTCTGTATAAATATCAGGATTAATTCATTGAAAATTTAAATTATAAAAATGATTGATTGTTTATCATAACTTTTAACAAATTTCATTAAAATTTTTATTAATTCTAATATTTAATATATTTTTACGATTATAACAAAAATTAGGTATTTAAAATATAGTATATAGTAAATATTTTTAATATATAAATGAGCTATATTATAATAATGTAAATAAATAATTTTACAATAATTGAAATGTCCTTTATTAAATATTAAATATTCTGTTGAGATGAATCATGCAGTTGGTGTCACTTTTGGCGATATGTATATATTTGTGTTTGTATACGCACTTGAAAATGGACGACTCTTATTATTATATTAACTCGCGTACAAGTATTTCTCTAGTACAACTCTATATTAAATTTACTCAAGTTAAACTCCAATTTATTATTATTTTGGATTTTATGTAAACCCTTTTTGTATATTTATGTGGTATGTTCCTTAGCCTTGTACGTAATGCTTTATACTAACGTAATTGTAATCTAACAATTTGTAAGACCATTAAAGAAATTCTAAATAACACAACTGTCCATTACAATAAACTATTTCCAAGTGGTCTGTGTCTTTGGATAGAATGATTTAGAGTAGGTACGAGCTTTATTTCAGTTCTTTGCACAATAAATTATACTAGTGTCCTGCACTCCGATGGTCCGTACTGTGGCAGAGATCAGTCTGGCTGGTCGACAAGGGGAGAGACACCTTCTAATTGCTTAGATAATAAGTATAATGATTCGACTCCGACTTATTTGTATTTTGTAGCTGGTTGTGCCAAATCTCAAATAATATCTTTATCTTTATACGACATTATTATACTATTACTCTGTTCAGACAGGTTATGGCGCTTCAATAAGTAATAAAACACAATACAATCTAATCGAGTTTTTTTTTGTATTAAGGTATATAATAAAAATAAATAATTCAAATATCAATACGTTTTATGTTTTGAAATGTTTTTAACACCAAAAAGTGTTCGGTCGAAAATAAAATGTATAATAATGTAGATCTGATATAGAATTGTAACTAAGAACAAACTATATGCTTATGCAGATAAGGATATTATTTTTTATTCATCATATCGATGAGGGAACACTAATTTGGAGATGTAGTTTTACTAAGTATATGTATTATTTATTAAATGTATTTAAATGTATGTATTTATAATGTAATTATTATATGTCTAGAATGACAGTTGCTTATACTATGATGAGTTGGCTTATTGTTAAATATATCCCTCCGTGTTACACAAATGAAAGGACAACAACAGCAAATTAACCAGGTGGGCACTACACTAAAGTAACCTAAATTTCACCACAGCACACTTACGGGCAAATTCAATGAAGCGCCGGACATGCTGTTACGTCACCCGACGGAGGGGTCCGCTGTCGACGAAGACATTCTCGACGACAATTTAATAGAGGCACCCACAACACAGCAGTCTTCACGTTTCGCTACTGTTGATAATATTTATGCTGTCACCGAAACAAACGACGCGTTTTCCGAGCGGTCTTTTACGAGGGGGGGAATACAAGAGTGGCAAAATAACAATCCGTCTCTTTCTTCCATCAAAAAAAATTTAATCACACACGCCTCCACTACAAACGAGCATAAGTGCTCCAAAAATAAATAGAATTTTTTTTTATTTAACGTGTTTTTGCATATGCATTTGGGCACGGACACGCCGATCGTCATATCTATTAACACATTGCAACACCTAATTTGGTATTACCACGACGACCCCTTAACATGTCATCCCGGATGAAAGAGACCTATCAAACGATAAAACAACGATTTTACTGTAACGGGCTTAAGAAATTTATGCGCATGTACGTGGAATCGTGTCATTTTAGCGCGTGCACTAAGCCCCTAAACAGACGCCGATATACCACCTGTGCTCCAATCCGGTAAAACGTAGGAACCGGTAATTAAAAAAGGGACTTGGTGTATTATTAACGGAGTCCATTCACTCTTCTTGGAACTTAAGACTAACCGAGATATTATTCGCGTTACACAATCGTTTCAATGAACAAACCGTCTAACCCCTGTCAGTACTCGTCATGGGATGGAAAGGGAAACGGCCAGTCGACTGGGCCGTACAACAGATAGATTCGGTAGCTCTCGCCGCTGAAAATAACGACCGATTAGCGCGCTAATTTTTCAACTACGTTTTGACAAATTAAGAATTTTTCAAATAAATCATACGCACAAATATCTTTTTCATCTTCAGATTGAAGATGTAATACCAAGTCCATATATTTAGATCTGATAACTTTTTGTTTTGAAAACTAACAATTAATGTATAACTTTGTATTTTATTGTATTTGATTATAATTAGTTTAATTATAATTAGGTATGATGTAAACAGATATAGAACTTATATTTATATATAATATATAAATAGAATTAAATTATAATGTAGAATAAATTCTAAGGAAATTTATAATAAAAATTATTCTACGATACACTCAAAAATATAACACATTTTATTATATTTTAAGAATATTAAAATTATCTAAAATACATAATATATAAAAAAAATACGACTTTAAAATAAATTGTTTTTAATGGTTTGTAGTATTTTATTTTCGTGTAGAATAAATGTAAAAAATTAAATGTTGAAAATTACGTAGTTTATGACTTTTCCATAATACGTAAATGATAAATTTTGAAAATCTATAAATTGTGTTAAAATTATATACTCTTAATATTGCAAAAAGAGCACAGTAAAGGAATGGTCAGAAACAAGGTGTGATAGTATTACACTAATTCATTAAATTTGGAGATTAGTACAATAGAAATCCTTACGAGTTTATATATTTGGTATACAGTATTTGTATACTACTACATAGTAGTCAAAGAATCAACAATATCTATTGATTTAATTAACTTTATAAAGAAAAGTAATGGAGCTTTTCCGAACTTTACCATTGTTCCTAGGATTTTTTTATCAGTCCCAATAACTTAATCTACTACAGAACGCAAAATAAATTCAAGACATAAAAATTAAGTGTTGAAAATTACGTAGTTTGTGGATTTTCCATAATACGCAAATTGTAAATTTTATAAATTCTATAAGTATCGTTAAAATTATTTCTTCATCGTCAAATTTTTACCAGACGTTTTAATTGCCTAAAGGTAAGTACTTTGTAAATTTGAAAAAAATTCGTTCAGTCACTTTTGTGTAATGAGATGATAAAGTTGGATATTTTCAGCAAACCACACGTGTTCAAGACTGTAAAACGATACAAAAAAAAAATTATAAATCGATTCAAATATGATATGGGTTAAAAGAACATAACTAAAAGTTTATGAGAAGAAAATTAAATTTTAATTAACAAATTTTGATATTAAAATACTGCCATATTTAAATCAAAATTTCGATTTTCAAAAAAATTCAAAATTCATAAACTTAAGAATGAAATTGAAGTACTATTTAATATGAGTAAAACAGTGCTAGTTTTACAGTGATAGCTTATTTGGATGTAAACCACCATCTACATAAATTTTAAAATAAAAATAGTTTTAATTAATTAGATTTATTAAACAAATCCATTATTCGTAGAAGTAGTTATAATCGGAAATAGGGGAGCTAAGGCCCCCCCAGTTTTAATGAGATCCCTTAATTAACTTTGGAACATAAAAAAAAATGTAATGTATATTTTCATTAATAAAATATATTTATTATAATAAATGTTATTACAATTAATTATGTTATTTAAAACATAAATTGATTAAAATTTACTAACGAAATTTTTTAGTTAAATATTAAAATTTATTTTAAATAGTATTATTATTCATTTAATATATGGTTAATACAATTTTCATATTACAGTGGACCCCCGGTAATCCGACAAACGTTTTGCAGGTCAGTGTCAAACTATCGAATTTGTCGGATTATAGAGTATTCCCTAAGATCTCCTATAGTCCGGAAATTTTAACAAAAGGGTACCTTGTAATCCGAAAAATCACAAATCCAAAGATAAGATTTGGTCTTGATAGGCCCTGGTGTGAAGTATAAATCATGCTTCATTATGTATGTCGACTTAAGTAAATTAAACAACACAATAGAAAGCTTATGTTTTATTATAAAATTAACGTCATTAATGCTAGAGAACTTAAAAAAAACAATAACTTTACATTAAGGAATACAATTACAATGTAATTGTGTTTAAACAAATATACATACTAAAATATTCAAAAATTATGAATAAAAATCATGATATGAATTTATGAAGCATGAAAATATTTATCAATTTTTTTTTGCTTAACATTATTGAAACGCGAGACCAATGCTCTGTCCCTCAGTCTTCTTAAAAGTAAAAGTTGTAGGATGTACCATTCTCCTCAGCCCATTGCAAACCCAGTTCAAAGGCGTTAGCTGCATCTTGTGCTATCACTTGCGGAGTAGTTGCAATTACGTCGTCGTCATCTTCCTGATTTATGGTTGTATTACTAGATATCTCTTTTATAATCTCATCGTCAGACATTTCATAAAAAATATTTTCCTCCTTATCCAATCCATGTTACCAGATTTCCAAATCTTGCGATCTTATCTGTGTTTCAGCAGCAACTTTCTCTATTACTTCCGAAGTTACACTGATTTGCGGATCGTTGCTAGGACTGGTGACTATATCCGGCCATAACTTTTTCCAAGACGATGTAATAGTTGACGAAGGTAATGCATTCCACGATTGACAAAGAGCAAAAACCAAGTCTTTCATATTGAATTCTTTTAAAGTTTTTTCTATTGGCTGATCTTTTGATACAGCTTTCAGAAGTAGATTTTTCTTATAATCTTGCTTGACAAACTGAATGATATGCTGATCCATTGGTTGAATCAGTGCAGTGCAGTTTGGTGGAAGAAATATCGCAGTGATGCATTTATCCTCAGTTGTCAGTTCTTCTTCAGACGGATGACCGGGAGCGTTATCAATAAGCAATAACGCTTTTTGAGGAAAATTATGATTTTTCAACCATTTTTTAACTTCTGGTACAAAGCATTCATCAAACCACTTCCTGAAAAGGTCTTTTGTCATCCACGCACTTTTTTGACCATAATAATGTACAGGCAAATCAATGTTTTTGAATGCACGTGGTTTATTCAATTTTCCAACGACCACCATTTTTAGCGCGTGTGTATCCGCAGCATTTGCACATGGTAGTATGGTTACACGCTCTTTACTTACTTTTCGCCCAGGTACGGATTTTTCGTTAAAGGAAACGAAAGTTTTGTTTGGTATCACACGCCAAAAAAGTCCTGATTCGTCTGCATTGTACACTTGTGATGGGTTAAGATTTAAATCTTTCACCTTTTGCAAATATCTTAATTTAAATGGCTCTATGCAGGTAGCATCATTAGAAAGTTTCTCTCCTGTTATAGTCATTAAACGTATGCCATGACGACTTTTAAAACGTTCTAACCATCCCTTGCTAGCCACAAAATCATCTTTTTTTATAATTTCCTTATAAAAAAACTTAGCTTTCATGGCCAACATGGGTCCCGAAATTGGAGCATGCTTATTTCTTTCCTGAAGAAACTACATGTACAAAGCTTCTTCCACTTCTGGATGTTCAGCTTTCTTGAGTGTCTGTCTCTTGCCTGGCCCACAGTCAGTAGTTGATACGAAGTTTTTAATCTTCTCATGATTTTTTTTAATATTATAAATTGTAGATCGGCCTACGCCATATTCACTTGCTAAACTACTAAAAGATTCATTACGATTTAAACGGTCTAAAATATCACATTTTTCTTTAATTGTCAGTGTTTTGTGCTTTCGCTTCTGGGCTTGTGACGACATAATTTACTAGGTACGTATACGTAATACACAATGAATAAACAGTACACAAAGAATCTATACTTTGAGCACAATAGTGATGGCACAATTGTAACCTGTTCAA